AGTCTTTTTGTCATTCTTGTAGAATAAATTGTAATTTTAACATTGACAGCAATGTAGCAAAAAAAGTATGACATCAAACTAGTTATTATAAAAATAATATGAATAGATTTAATAAAACTAACAACATAATTATATGAAATCTTGCTATTTGAATAACGAGCAGTTTATAAATTATGATGCACTTTCACGTACAATAACGTTGTTAACTTGAAAGATATTTAGTAGAACATAGAGTCTTTCTTTTTGTTATTATTGTCATTCTTCATTCATCTATCTTTATTATTCTTAAAAATATTAATAATATTAATATGCCTTCAGATTTAAAGATTTGAAATAATTAGTTAACATAACTTATTACTTCAATTAAAATTAGTATCAGACTGTTTAAGACTTTTATTTCGATCGGAGATGTAAGAAAATTTTAAATTAGATTAAAATAAATAGCGGACCACATTTTGAGATAAAATTAAATCCAAAAGGAGCACGTATATTTTTACGACAACATAAATAGGAGATAAAATCATAGTATATTATGCCGATGCAAGTTGCATAAGCAACACAAGTTGCAGAAGGATTAGCAACCGTCGCCAACACTTGCATTACTTATTAAAATTCATAGCGGCCGGCAATGCATTAAGGTCAGAGGATCCGAACGAAAGTGCGCGTGCGCATTTAAATGTCGCATACAAACGAGCAAAGGGCAAAGAAAGTTACATTATTGTTATGTTTTGAATTATAATATGAGTGAAATTTTATATATACAAACATTTTTTAAGTTTAAAATGTATTTTTTTCCAAATATTTTTTATAACTACGTGGTTTATTAGTTTAATATATGTATATGAACTTTAGTAGTCTAGTTTTTTTAAACATAGTAACAGCCAAATTTACAAACCATATAACTTAACAAAATTACAAAGATTTTTCTTAATGTTTATAAAATGTAAAACAATAGAAAATCCTTAAAAAATTTGTGAGTTAATTTTTTTTGTCCGTGTACATTTTTATTTTTAGCGTCATTGATTTCGTAAAGCAGCCTTTTTATAGCTAATAATTTTTAATTGAGCCTTGACTTTTGTTAATTAGCACCACATTTTTTAAGTATCTTTGGTAAAGATAAAAAAAAATTAAGCCTCCATAATAGCGAGGCGTGGCAAACTCAAGTTTAATTTCATTATACTTTGTGGTCATGTATATTATTGTTTTATTGAATTAATTAATATAATACTATAAGTTGTTTTCTACTCCTTATAAATATAAAAGAAGTTGCAATTTCGATTCTAAATTAATACAAAAGAATTCTTTATTCAATATATTATTATATCGTTGACTAATTAATTACAAGTGGAGCAGAAAGATAAACATCGACCTCACGAGTAATGGAGAACTAAATATATAAAATACTATTTATAGATGTAATAATTATGCATATTTTTTGCATAACATTAATTAGGATTCATATCTGAAAACGCTAATGTTAATTTTGATTAAAAGTATCAATAAAATATTATTATTGAAGTGGAGAAAGTTAACAAATATATCCGAAGTTTTGATATATTTTGTTTAAACCGAACTGTTTTTTCTTAGAGAACCTTCTACTCTACTCTCATATATCTGTCAAGTAATATATTATAGTCCATTCACAATAGTATAGTAACAAGTGTTATAGTTGTATTGGCTTGTTGTATCATTGTATTCAACACATAACTTGACATAAGATTACGTAAACTTTATATGTATCAACAATAAGTTATCCAACTTTTTTCTTCTTAATATTGTTATATATTCATTAATATATATTAAAATAGCGTCAATTTTAAAGAACTAAATATATTAAATTATAATTTTGAGATGTCAATAATGTTTTTTTTACAGTGAGAATAATATTAATGACTATTAAACAAAACCGTCGAAGGCAATTAACTAGTAAATCTGACATTGACCGGTCTGTTAGCAACGTGGATGTAAAAACGAAAATAGTAATGCAATCCGATTCGTTCCGTCGGCTGTTACAGAATACGATATCTGTACGGAAAATGATTCGTTATATAACTGTTATAGATATTTGTTGAAACGAGAAGTACGGCGTCTCAGCTGGGGCAGAGACATGAAACATATTCATACTTACATAGAGTACTGTACTACATAGAGTACTGTACTACATAGAGTACCGTACTATATAGAGTACCGAAATAAATGAATAGTAAAACTGTATCATTAGACAAGTAATAACGACTATTTGCTAGTTTCCTTTCTGTTACTGATACAAGATAACATTGTTCTTTCGATCAGATATTAGTTTAATATTGTAAGTCTCAAGGCCGCTAACAAGGTCGAGTGAAAAGGTGAAAAAATTATTTGGATAATGCTGTGAGATAGTGAATTTAGGATTACGCAAAATTCCAACGTTCTATAAATAGACTTATTGTCTTGATTTGTTAAAATATTAGGTACATCTTTACGATTAAACGCGTACATTTAACGAGTTAGTCATTATTCCATTCTGAATAAAAATATTTTTTCCATATAAGTCTAGACTTAGATTAGAGATGAAACGAGCTGAAAAAATGCGGAAGGGAAAGTAGAGATTTACTTAGCTAAAGAAGAACCGTGAAAAAAAATCCTACACTGGTATTTTTATGTTATGTTAGCTATGTTTTCCAGCTCGCAATATATGTATTCTCTATATAGCAAGTCAATATAATAGCTCGGAATAGCTTAAAGATCGTAACCACCAACGCTGACCCGAAAACTAACATCGTATTACATGCAAAGTGTTCAATAACAGCATTAAATTGTTACCGCAGACCGGCAATCATTACACGATTACAGTTCAGAAATACACCAAGATTTTACAAATTTATTGAGACTGTATCTTTCATTATTTGCTGGATTCAAATAGTGGGATGGATATTTTAAAATGTTAGCAAGATTTTATATATTTAATTCTCTTAGAAATTGTATATAACATATATATAAAGACATACATATATGACACACATCCTATAGAACTGCAAACATTTATACAGACAGTGAAAATGATTGCAAAATAATTTTTATTTGTTCAAAAGAAAGCCGTTGTTTGACGTGTCCTTTTAACAGTCGTATCATTATTCATTAATTAACATATTTACTAAGAATTAAATATTTTATTAATATTACTATTATTTCAATATACATCGATAAAAAATATATAAAAAAAGAATGTGAAGCCGTGTCATGACATGTAAATTTGTTAAGATGCCATCTAATATTAAATAAATTGCAGACGATAACGCGTCACACCTGGAGTCACACATTGTATGTTAAATTGTATAATTCTATTGTTTGTATAATTTGAATTCCAATTATACAGGAGACGTCGCGTGTGGACGCATCTCTTTGATTCGCGACATGCTAGTATCGAAAGTCATTTACACGCACATGTACCTGTCATATTTATTAATAGGTCAATGCACTCTGTAATTTATTTCAAATATTTTTATGCAATATTCCATAGCACAGATTTTTCATATTAAGTCTAAATTTAATTTAAATTATATCATCTAATTATGATGCTTAAATTTTTATGTATTCAAATCATGTCAAAATTAAAGAATTTATTTACAAAACACTAACTATATTATTTGTTAATATGAAAAAGAATTAATATATTTGATAACTGATATAAAGATAGAACCTTGTCATAATCTTTATAATATTAAATAATAACATGAATGAAAGCATTATTACAGAAGCGTGTCGAACGACAAACTCACCGAATTACGCAGCGTTACGAGAAAGTCAGATGATCAATTAATATTACACGAGACAAGACGAAACGAACTCTGTTACGACAAATACTTCGCTTGACTCTGAGATTAATATCGAACATTATTGTGGTAACAAATTATTAAAATATTAATGAGTTTTATTCATTTATATGAAACTAATATTTTTCGGATATACTACGCGTTTTTTTTTGTAAAAAACTACATACTCCAGACGTTTAGGCTACTTTTTAGCAACCGTGATCACGGACAAACGAGACGATATATAACAAAAAGTTTTTCATAAAAATGAACCGCTTAGTATATCCGAAAAATATTTGTTTCAATTATATCAATATATTAATTATACTAATGCCCGTGAACAAAGTGCTGCAAAGTTACCGAAACGTCGGGAGTATGTTGTTTTTTAAATAATAAGATACGTGTAATAATCCAATAATATTAGTTTCATTTATATTAAATATATATTATATATAAGATTTTTTCGAATACACATTTATGTGAAATAAAGTTTTTTGAATACTAAGCTTTGTTTAGTATTTTATTTCTACATGTTCTTGAAATTTCGATCACTTTTCAACAACAGTAATCACGTATCATAAATACAAGTATATCAACAAATGCCTTTTATAAACTATCTCAACTCTCTATTTGAAAAGAAATATTTGAAAATGCACAACAAGTATTATCTGTTTATTATATAGAACATAAAATTTTAAATTCATACTTATTATATATCAATAAACATAAATTAATTTTTATTTATTTATATTATATTTTTAATACTATTTATTAATAATTCATAGAATATATTTTTCCTATACAATTATTTCAGCTAATGAATACTGATTTTCATATGTTAGGATAAGGTTGTTTGGTAGATAAAGTTTCAAAATTAAATATTTGATTTATGTTACATTTATCTTATATATAATAAAAATTTATTTTTATAAATAACTAGTTTTAACCAGCGACTTCGTCCGCGTTAATTTCTGAATTAATATTATATGTGTAGCTTGACCGAGCGAACTCTATTCTATCCTAAAGGCCATAAAAAACCAGATATTGAAATTTATTAAGTTTTTATTTAACATAATTAAAAATCCTATGTCCGTCTCCTGGTTCTAAGCTATCTGCTTGCCAATTTTTAACCACATCCCTACAGCCGTTCTTGAGATATTAATAATGTAACGAACACAACTTTCTTTTATATATAAGATATAATATTACCTGAGTTCGCTGGGCGCTGGTCACTGCGAGACACAACAGGAGCGTTACAACACTCCACCAAAGGACTCGCATCCTCGTTACTAAAACAAACAATAATAATATTAATAAAACACTCTGTTATTCCTTAATTAGTAATATATTACATACGCTCAGCATAATAAAAAACAAATGAACATCGCCGGGGCGACATCGTTGTATGGATAAAATATATAACGAGTGACGCTGCTTACTCCGCGGAACGAACACCAAGCCGTGTGAACCAGAAGATTCCTGATACCACACAAGCTATGGAATGGGATTGCTACCCTAATATCAGGTCAATCATGTAGTATTAGTTATAGGTTATGAGTTTTAATATGTTATTCTTATTATAATATTCACATAAGTAAGTTTCGTAGTTTCCCTGGAAACCCCGGTGGCCACCTTTCATAATTAAACTTAAAAGATAAACATCATAGTATTTTTCTTACGTAGCTTAAATTAATTCTTAAATCATCAATTTTGAAAGCAGTAATTTTTAAAAGTTTTCGCGTAAGAAACTACTTGTATATTGTACCTCTTAACGCATAAATGTTAATAAATATAAAATAATGAATTAATATAATAACTTTTAATGAAATATTAAAAATATAGGTACATATAAATCATAACATTCTATTAATTTTATTTTTGCTAGAAGTAATGGTCTGACCTCAGCTTCACACCAATTAACAAGAACTGGTCTTAATCTACTGATATCTTTAAATCTTACATCCCATCTTACACTTTCACTAACAAAATAAACTCACTTTCCATTGAAGTATTACAACTGCATTCCGTAAATAAAAGCAAGTTATCGAAACAAATATTGTTGCATTTCATATTTTTTTTCCTATATAAGTCACTAGCTTTCCGCCTTCAGCTTCGCCCGCGTGGAGTTCGGTTATATCGCGTTTCCAAGAGAACCTTTCAAAAGTCTGGGATAAAAACTATCCTATGTTCTTTTTCAAGGTCAATTCTATGTCTGCACCAAAGTTCATTAAAATCCGTTCTGTGGTTTAGGCGTGAAAGCGTAACAGATAGACATACAGAGTTACTTTCGCATTTATAATATTAATAGGGATTAAACTAAATATTGTTGAAAAATTTATGGGAATATGATTTAAATAGGAATATTATACAAATATTGCTCATACTATTCAGTATGAAAACAATTACAAAGAAAGGAGTATCGCTAAATGATTTCATTTTAAACCCGTCTATCGCTTACAACTTCAATAACTTTGATATTTTACAAAGACTTAGTCATGCTCTGTTTTCTTAATCCTTCCATGGAAATATTTAAACATACACCAGTAATGAACAGTACATATAAATAAAAAGGGGTGTCTTAATAAAGTTGCAATTAATAAAAAAAGGGTTTATTTGTAAAAGATGAATGCACGCGACGTTGACGCGTGAGTGCCTCCTTGCATCACGTTGACCACATCAGACCTGGTTGCCATGTGGAGCGGCCAATGTAATGTTCTGTTGACGCAATTCTTCCTTTTATACATCACCCTGTTATACTTCATCGACAATTTAGTATAAAGTAATTGTTTACTGTGTTCCGCTCTGATCGGCTTCATGGAAATTTTTTTCGTTTCATTTCGTATTATATTGCTTTTAAATACATTTTTATTTTTAATAAAGTTTGTCTTGGCCAGTTTGTTAGCCATAAACTGACGTAAAAGTAAATTTATAGCCAACTGGAAAGTCTCAAAACAATCACCATTGTCCATAAATGAATAAACTATAGTATTTTATAGTATTAGTCAAGAACTTTCTCCTTTACCTTGTATTGTATTGATCTTTTACAAAGACTTAGTCATGTGTTTTGTATTCTAAATCCTTCCATGGAAAACCTACGAAAATATTTCAACATACATATATGATATACATTTTCATCATTCAATACATACTTTCGTTATATTTTGAATTCAATTTTTAGAGTTATTAATGTAACCACAAATAATTACAAAAACTATTGATATATTTTAACTTTAATAAAAATAATAATTATCAAAGTTATAACGTTTTAAACTTCATTAAATCATAATTACTCAAGCTGTGTTTAAAACATAACATTTCAATGTAAAAAGGTTCTTCAATATAACAACCTTCGTAGTTCTCTTGAGCGGGTAGATCTTTTTACTACAAAGTAAGCCAAGATTACTGAGTTAAGGTTAATCAGAGCCCAGCGGCTCAGAAAACTTATATGGATAACCCGATGTTACCATGAATATTAAATAAGAATAAATTATAGAAATGTATTGAAAGAAAGTGACGTTCATATATATATATAAAAGTGTGTGTGTGTGACAGAGTGTGTGTGTATAAGTACCTTAAATATTCACTTACACTTTACTATTGATTTTAATTATACCAATAGGTGAAAACAATTTTACTAATATAAGTTAATTTCGTTTCTAAGTTTAAGATCGTATTACGTAAATTAATTCAAACATTTAATAATTCGTTATATTATTGTGGGTAAGTTCTCAAAGAAAGTAAAGAAAGCTAACAATAGTCGTTATAAAATGAGCAGCTTTACTCAATTAATGCAAATTAAGTTTCGAAAAAAAACATTAAGTGTTCCTTTGTTTTTATACAGCTATCATAAAATTAGGCTCTTCGCTTTATTTTCTAATAATTTATTTTCAAGAAAAAGATATTACATATTTCGCGAAAGTTAAAAAAAGTTGAAACAAGTCTTAAATTTCTGTCCGCGTGAGGAAATTGTTTTCAATGAACTCCGGTACAATCATCGTCGATTGTTTAACAGTTCCTGTGTATTCATTATAATTTCACACACTATTTATAATCTATCGATAAATTACTTATTACAAGCTGAAACATTCAATCTGTTTTGAATAGCAATTTAATAATTAGTGGTAGAAAGCAAAGATTGTTTCTTTCCCGTTTTTCTTTTCGTCGTCATTAGCCTATCAGAGCCTATGCTGAGCAAAGGCCTCTTCTCACATGGAGAAGATTTGAGCATTAATCACCACGCTTGCTCAAGACGGGTTGGTGATTTCAAACTTATATTTAAAAATTATAAGTCCAGGTTTCCTCACGATGTTTTCCTTCACCGTCTGTCAGTGGTGTCTGAATAATGAGAAAGTACATTTGACTCGGAAAAATCACATTGGTACTTTCCAGAATCGAACCCGCGAGATCGTGCACGAAAAGAGGGCCTGTAACCACTAGGCCACCACTGACTATAAATTTATAATAAAAATAAATAATATATATATTTCCATATAAAAGATATATTAATAAAAAATTTATAATAAATTATTGTTAATGAAGAATCTCTCGTGACAACGCCGCACGCAATGCTATCAGAGTGTCGTCTTAACGACGTAATGAGCCATGTCGTGCCAAAATTATTACAGCTATTCATCATTACTTATATGTAATTGTATACAAAACTTTATTAAATGATTGTTTTGAATATAACATAAATAAAATTTGATTTATATATTATTACTGTTGGTGGAAAGATCTTTGTGTGTTAAATATACAGTAAATTTCAATAAACATCCAATATAAGTTTTAATTGAAATTCATATGATTAATGAGATATATAAAAATACGCTATATATAAGTATTTTGTATAAAATATACTAAACTATGTATATTATACAGGGTGACTGGTGAATTACTATCAATATTTAAGGAGAATACTCGGTACATGATTCTCATTCGAATTATGTAAAAAAAATAGGCACTTAATTTTTGACAAAATTTCCGTATAAATAAATAAAGTGCGGACACGATCCAAGTGTCCCAAGTGTGGACGTATGTGTGAGTGTGTGTGTATACCTAATCTGTAGGGTGTTCACACGATGCGTAATTAATTACATAACTTTTGGTTAACTTTACTCAGAAGTTTATTAATATTTATATTATATTAATTTTTATTTTGTCATATATGATCGTCAAATATCACGTCCTTAAATATCGATAGTAATTCACCAGTCACCCTGTATATTTTGTATGTCAAAGTCATTATTATAATTAATCTTGTATAAGAAAATATGATGTACGTTTTCAGGAGGTATACGCAGTACGCAGGTACGAAGTACACGCACACACCTTGACAGACATTCACACAGTCAATTATTGAATAATACCTTGAACCGAGTGACCTGACTCGAATAGATATTTAATAATTACTTAGAATTAGGTCTCAAATTATATAATAATAAAGAATTAGTTAATATTTAAGTTTATATATATATTTAAAGAGTTCATACGTTGATTTTGATCATCACTTATATATATAGAACTAGCTTTCCGCCCGCAGCTTCGCCGCGTGGAGTTCGGTTATATCGCGTTTCCAAGAGAACCTTTCAAAAGTCTGGGATAAAAACTATCCTATGTTCTTTCTCAAGGTCAACTCTATCTCTGTACCGAATTTCATTAAAATCAGTTCAGTGGTTTAGGCGTGAAAGCGTAGCAGACAGACAGACAGACAGACAGAGTTACTTTCGCATTTATAATATTAGTAGGGATGTATGTTCTAGAAATGTAGCCTGAGGCTTAGTTAATAAAGATTTTACTTTCACAATGAAACCGCAACACGAAACTACAAAGACTAAACTTATCAAATCGACCACTCCATTACGATGTTACTTATATATACATTTTAAATATAATAGTTGCATTTCAGTTGAGTCAGTGGTGGCCTAGTGGTTAAAAAGCCCGCCTCTCATCCATGAGGTCGCGGGTTCGATCCTGGCAAGTACCAATGTGATTTTTTCAAGTCATATGTACTTTCTGAGAGTATTAAGGCATCACTGATTAATGCATTCCCAAAGAGGGTTGATGTCAGGCAGGCGGCCGGTAGTAAAACAATTAGCCAAAACCAAAACATGTAAGGCAGACCCTGGCTAAAGCTGAGAAATTGTCAGGTAGAAGAAGTTGCAATTCAATTTATATAGTCTTAATATTATCAGAATAGTTTATATACATAATAAAGTGGAAATGACAGATTTTACAATATCCAAGACTTACACGGGTAACATTTAAATTAACCAATTAATTAT